GACTACTCGGGCAGCATGTCTCACTTGGCAGTGCCATCTCCTTATCTGGCCAAACTTATTCTACACTGGGGGAGGCCAACGCACACATGGATAGGCACTGACCCACATGGTAGGCTGGGGAGCACTGGGCTCATGCTGGAAGTGAGCCTTGTAGGAACACCTACCTCCCTAGGAAAGATAGAGCCTTCATCCTGATCATACACAGGGCCCACAAGCAGCAGCAGAAACTAGATGGACGGGGAGGGGATCTCAAACCATGCAAACTGCTCAGGGAATTTGAGATGCATCTTGGTTTGGGCAATATGGTTTTAGTAGGAGTTATTCAGCCATTTCAAAGTTCTCATCTGATTGTTAGGGGTATTCATATGTGTATGGATGCGTGAGTGAGTGTGTAAATGTAGTGTATGTGCGTGCAAATATGGCGCATATGTGTGTGTATGTGTGTGTGTGCATGTCTGTGAGTCTGTAGGGGTGTGTACAAACATGTGCTTTTTAGGTAGGTACAGAAAAGTGAGATTTTTGGGTTTGGGGGTTTGTGCCAATTAAGTTTTGTTTCCATTTTTAATGCTCTGTTCCTCTCCTTGGGTTCTTTCACCCAGCCCCATGGCGACATGGTGACATTTGTGATGGAACGGCCAGTGAAGAAAGAGTTTGGGTGGCTGCTGTTGTTCTCAGCCAGCTTATACTAAAAGCACCCTATCTGAGTGGTGACAAGGAGAGGGCACTGAAGCAATGACATGCCACCTGAAAATTTTGGGTCCCCTTCCTTTCTTCTTGGGTTCTGAGATCCAAGTCTAAGCCAATTTGACTAAAGATCCAAATGGAAAGAAGAGGAAGGGGGGGGGGCCGAATTACTTTATTTTGCCAATTGTTTCTAAGCCAATTAATTTTTAGTAATTTTTAGCCAATTGATTTCTTTAGTTATTTAATTTTTAAATTAACATTTCTGGTGTTTCTAAAAAGCCAATTTGTTTTAAAGGGGACTGTATGTTTTAAAGTTTTAAAGGGGACTGTATGTTTTAATTTTTTAAAATAATAATTTGGGGGGGGGTTACTTGGGTTGTTTAGAGCCAATTAATTTGGTTTTGAAGAGT